TATTTGGGGCTTAACTGTTGAATGGCGCCTTGTGAATTCGAGGCTAGCGCTCTCCATTTGGATAACACAGGCATAGAAGTCCGTGGGATTTGTATAAGGATGCATCAGTGCCTATCCAGGTTCCGCTAGACCCTAACCTTGCGAACATATTCCTGGTGGCGCTTTCTGCTTATGATTCCTTACCTTGCCACATTATTTGCAAGGTATTTCTCGGGACTTTAGGACCTGGGGTTTTGACACATTCAGATTGAAGGTTTAGGATTGATGGATCAGGACTTAGAAGGTGAAGCAAGCCCTGGCAACTCAAGGCAAAGTTCGTGTGGGTCTCATTTTAACATTTGCGTAGTATTTTATTTGAGGATACTATGGTACCCAATATAGAGTAAGATTATATCTTCCTTTTGGGTATAGTATTTCGGAATATTTTCTTACTAGGTTCAACCAATCAGTTGTTGTTGGGATTGGCCTCCATACGCTGAGAGTTGCCTTAGAAGGCTGGTTTCAGGGTTTCGGGGCTGGGATGCGCAAGGTGGTCCTAGAGTTGTTGTAGTGTAAGTGTCTCAGTTTCCTAGTACTTGGGCGAGTATACCGACAAGTCAGGGGACCCTCTGGTTACAGAGGAGTTATGAGCGGATCCCAGGAACGCCCTCTAGGCGTCATGTAGGCTTCATGTTAAGAATTACCGTGAACGCGGAAAACGTAAACCATTTGCAAAAAAAAGAGTTTACGGCTAAGTGACCGCCATTTTGTCAGTTTCCAGCCTGGCTCTGAGCCTCTCTGCGCTTAGCCTCAAACCCTGAACAAACCCTACAAAACCTGGGGTCTAGGTTTATAGTTCTGCTAAAATAGATAGAATATGGCTTTGGGTATATTATGATAAGATCCGGGGTACTATAGGGGCAAGCCCGTAGCCATGTGGCTGAGCCCTCCATGACTCTTCCACGTTCATGGTTGTTCAGGCCTTGCCGCCGCCTCCAAGACTGCGCAGGGCCAAGTTTTTGCCTGGCTTGTGAACTACTATTACTGTTGCTATTACTATTACTATTACTATTGCTATTACTATTCTGAATACTATGAGATATGGAGCTTTCAGCAGGGAGCCTGGGTTCTATAATTATACAGGGAGTATGGGCGGCTTACACGGTTCCCTTGATGGATGGTCTATGCCTAAGTTCGAGACATTCCCCAAATGGGCAAGAATGAGACATTGCACAATTCCTTGTCTACACACACATATGTAAGTAAGTAAGTAAGTAAGCAAGTAAGTAAGTATGTATGTAAGTATGTAAGTATGTATGTATGTATGTATGTATGTATGTATGTTTGTATGTTTGTGTACATAGGGCTGCTTGGAGAGCATGTACTAAGCGTTGCATCGTGTATGCCAGGTATGTAGCTTCTGCCAGATATGACATTCGCTGAGGCATTCGTGGATCTAGTAGGGTCCAGAATCTAAGATCAAGTTCAGGGCTTATGTAACGTATCCAGGATTTTTCTTTCCAGCCTTAGACGACGCTTGATCGTCCTGTTGTGGCCTCGGATGACATGCATTTGACAATTAGGGTACCCTCAGGCACCCCAGAATATGGGGACTATCAGATATAAGATGTCCGTAACAGGGAGAAAGGGGTATTTTGAGAAAGGCCAATGTGCAGACAGGGGTCACAGGCTGGTCATGCAAGCTTTCAAGCGGTGGATGAGGGAAAGCTTGCATTACATCACCTACTGTTGAAATCCAGATTTGCCAAAAGGTCATGCAGGATTTTCCATTACCCTAAACCCTAAACCCTAACCTGGTATACATCAGCCCCAGGAGGCAACACAAAACCATGCATGACCTTATGATGTTAGATTACTTGATTTAGGATTATATTGGGTTTAGGGTTTAGGGTTTAATTCCCAATGTTTTGCCTACTGTGGGTCATGCAGAGTGTTTAGTAAGGACGTATCAAGACAACCTCTATCTAACCCCTACCAGGGACCCTGTATGTTTCCTAGGGCCCTTACATGCCCAAGTAAATTCCGCGGCAACTACAGCTTCCTGAGGATCCGCATTCCTCCAAAATTTCTGGACCAGCTTTGCTCTTTGTGTAGAGTCCAGGCTTGAGTCATTGGTTCAACTGTAGTGTAGGGGGCCCGAAAGTGCTATTCCAGGCATTCAGCCCTGTGGCCCCAATATCCAAATGTGTCGAGGTGACGATCCTCTACTCCTCCGACACTGGCCATGCTGAAGAGTGCGCCAAGGCTGTGGCGCCACTTGGCCTTCTCAAATTCGGAGGGTTTGGCTGGCAGGCACGGGAGGCAGGTCTACTGTCTCAGAAGCAGAAGCACCACTGTTTGTAGATTGCATGTCGTTTATGCTGGCTACGAAGCTCCAAACACCTCACAGCAGGCTTGTGCTCTTGCCAGCAGCGGGCTGCAACAGTGACGTCCTTTCAAACTACACGAAGCCTACCAGAACCGCCAGCCGCAACGAACGCTGGGAATGCAAATCTTAAATGGGTGGAGGAGGAGGCCTGGAAGAAGCTGAAAAGGAAAAGTCAAGGAAGGGAAGCTTGGAGATCACAAGTCAGAAGGAGGAGGGCAGAATACACCAAACCGACTAAGGAACAAACGTGCGGACGAGAGTTGAGGGGACCAAGGGCGTGAAGACCCACAGCAGATCTGTTAGGCATAGAAGAGCCGACAGGGCTATTGCTTTAAACTTTAGATGGTCTCGAAGAGTCTTTCATCTCGAGAAATCTTCCCGATGTTGCTTTTGCTCTGAGGCGCCAGTGCCGCAATGGCGGCTTTGTCAGCAGCGTAACCTGGCCATTGGTGTGCGTGGGTTTAGGGTTGCCTGCTAGGCTTACACAAAGGGTAGAGGCACCTAGATTGTGGGTACAAAGCCCTTTTTGACAGGTATGTGTTACTCTAGGCAGGGTTAAGAGGTTTAGGGTCTAGGGGTTCAGAGGTCTAAGGTGGGGTTTTAAGGGTTTAAGGTTTACAGGTTTAGGATCTTTGCTGGGGTCCTGATTGCACAGGGGTCGGAGGTTACTGTGGCATTGAAGGCTCTAAGCGCGTTCAGAGGCTTCGTGGGCTTTCGTGCTCCCCAGGCCCTCTTTCCCTACAAATGGATCTTGTTTGTCCACTCCTGACCTTCCATCCATTGGAGACATCTACTCAAAACTTGTTGGTCGGTAGTGCGTTTCATTGTTATATTTTGTCATATTGCCGGATGAATCCAGGGTCCTGGATTCCTGGCTGTTGCAAAGGTCAGGCTACTAAAAGCAACAAGATTCTTGCTTTGCCGTCCAAGTTCAAGCAATCAAAGTAATGCAGCAATTCCTATTAATCTTACTATTATTGTTATTGTTACTGTTGTTATTCTTACTCTTACTAGTATTGGTGTTAGTAGTATTATGGGGAGTTTGAACCTCAATCTGGGAGACTGAGTTTCAATCACCTCTAGGCCCTGGTTTGAAGGCTCCTAGGTCCTAGGTGCACTTCCTGAATCCCAGCGTGAAGTCTACTAGGGGATCCTGGCAAGAGTCCATTTTGAAGCAGAGAGGGTAGGCCATGAAGGATTTTGGATGCTTTTAATTGAAGCAAGTACATGTAAAGGCTTCCCAGCAACTAATCTAGTCTATCAAAGCAGAAGTTTTACATGTTGTTTTATGCGCAAAAAGCGAACGGATACAGATGCATGAAGAAAGCATCACGTAGGGTTGTTCCATGTTGGAAGTACACATCGTGCATACAGGCACTATATAGTCTTTGTCCCATGGAGCTTGTATACGGGTGGCAATAGAAGTAAATTCCATACTCGGATCACATAGGGATTGCTTATGTTGGCAGGATACACGGGCTTAAACAGGTTCATACAACGGTTGTACAGAAAACAGGGCTTGTATTCCTTGCTTAGGAATTTGCATGAGGCAAAGATGTGGATTGCACAGGGCCAGTATACTATTTTTTTTGGGGCTGTTATGAGGGTCAGTTCAAGCCATTGTATTGAGATTCGTTACGCAGGTCATATCTGGCCAGTAGAGTCCAATTCGGCAACAGTTATATGAGGGCATGAAGGGGCTACGTTGATACAGTATAGGTGCTGCATAGGGCTTTGCATAGAGACCCTGAGGTACTGGTAGGGTATGGGGCTGACGTCTTTAACAGTATAGGCCATACATGACATGCGGATTCTCATGGTTGAAGGGCTGCAGAAATGTATGCAAGGGATATACAATGACATGGCCTGGGGTAAGCTCATTTTGACTGCCCAGGGCTTGAGCAAATATAGGGACTCCATCGCTATACGAGGGGACTACGTATTCTCCGTATAGGGCTTATGCAATGTTCATGCTGCAGTATCTGCGGATCGCGTAGCCTCTGCATGCATCATGTAGGGGCCAGAAAATGATAATACAAAGATATAAAATGTTCCCACAAGCAATATGACATGTAGGGTTTCTGGGGTGATACAAGGAACGTGTATGAGTTTAGAGTCAACCACACGAGGTTTTGGTATTGTTGATTTGAGGTCTGTACGAGTCATATTATGTCCGTCGGGATGCTGAATAGCTTATCGAGAAAACATACAGGGATTACCGACAAGTTTCGCTGTTTTGAAATCTTGGGACGTTGTATAAGGGTCATGTAGGCAATGGTAAAGGCATTGTTCAGGGCTATGCATGCATTACGCGAGGGGTAGATCAGGATGATAGAAGAACAAAGCAACCTCTTTGAACCTCGTTCACGTCATACTGCCCAGAAAGATGAGTAGGCTGGGTCGAAAACGGTGCCAGGAGCCTCACTTAGTAAGGTGCATTTGTTTATAACAGAGGGTTTTCGTCGGTTTCGTGCCAAGCCTCATCCTTCACGGCCTCGAGCCATGAATAGCAATATAAAATCCTACAACCCAAACTCCGAGTCTTAACCTTCAAGCCCTAAATAGTAGTTACAAAATCCGAACGAAGCCTAAGCTCTAAAACCACGAGCCCGAAGCCGGGGTCATGGCAAAGGCCGTCCGCTGCGGCACCATGGATTCCTTTGACGTGGGTGCGCTGGCATCCGAGCCTTTGGTGGTCTTCTGCGTGGCCACTGCCGGCAAAGGCCCAGGGTTGCTGAGAACAACAAGCAAGCGGGGTTTAGGGTTTAGGGGTT